GGTGCCAGATTCTGTCCCGGTCACTCCTCTTCCAGTCCAGCTTTCTGCTGTGGCCCCGGGAAGGCAGTGGAGGATGGCCCAAGTGCTTGGGCCCTGCACCCGCATGGGAGACCAGGAGGAAGCACCTGGCTCCTGCTTCGGATCGGTGCAGTGCTGGCCATAGTGGCCATTTGGGGGGTGAACCAACAGAAAAAAGACCTTTCTCTCTGTCTCTCTCTCTCACTAACTCTGCCTGTCAAAAAAAAAAAAAAAAAAAAAAAGGCAGAGAGAGAGAGAAATTGTCTATCTGATGTTTTATTCCCCAAGTATGCACAATGGCCAGGACTGGGCCAGGCTGAAGCCAGGAGCATGGAACTCTCTGCTTCTCCCACAGGGATGACAAGGATTCAAGTACTCGAGCCATCACCTGCTGTTTTCAGGTGTGCATTAGCAGGAAGCTGGATCGGGAAACTGAGGCAGAGGCAGGACTCAATGCCAGGCATTCTGTGTGCTTTCCACTGCTCTTTCCGGGTGCATCTGCAGGGAGCTGGATTGGAAGTGGAGCAGCTGGGATTTGAACCAGGACCCATATGGGATCCGGCACTGTAGGCAGAGGCTTAACCTGCTATGTTACAGTGTGGGCTCCAAGAAAAAGTTTTAAGTCAATTCATATATCCTACAAGAAGCTCAGTGACTATTTTATTTTAATTTTATTTATTAATCTTTTTGAATTCTGCAAGAAACTGCCATTTGTCAGAAGAATTTCGTTTGGGACATTGAAGAGATTATACATGTACTTGTTATTTATAGATTGCAAACATAACCTTAAATGTGGGAATGAGAATGGTACTCTATGCAAAAGTGTTTTGTTACTTTCAATTTTTTTTAAAGATTTATTTATTTATTTAAAAGGTAGAGCTACAGAGAGAGAAGGAGAGATAGCTAGAGATCTTCCAACTGCTGGTTCATTCCCCCAGATGGCCACAAACGCCAGAGCTAGGCCAGGCAAGATCCAGGAGCCAGATCCCCGTCTCCCATGTGGGTGGCAGGGGCTCCAAACACTTGGGCCATCCACTGATGTTTTTCCCAGGCCATTGGGAGGGAGCTGATCAGAAGTGGAGCAGCCAGGACACAAACTGGCACACAAATGCAATACCATTGTTGCAGGCAGCTGTTTACCTGCTGTGCCACAACGCCGGCCCCCATGATGTGGTTCTTTATGAGTTTGAGGCCCAATACTGTGTGAATTCCCAGAATACACTACCCAATATCAAGTAAAATTCAAATGCATCCCAAGGTAAAAATGGGTTGTTTTAAGACTACCTACTGTATGTGGCCGGCACTACGATGTGGTGGGTCAAGCCTCTCCTTGCAGCACCGGTATCCCATATGGGCACCAGTTTATGTCCCAGCTACTCCACTTCTGATCCAGCTCCCTGCCAGTGGCATGGGAAAGCAGTGGAGGATAGCCCAAGTTCTGCTACCCACATGGGAAACCCAGAAGAAGCTCCTGGCTCCTGGCTTCGGCCTGTCCTGTTCCAGCGGCTGCGACCATTTAGGGAGTGAACCAGCAATTCTCCGTAACCCGTACTTTCAAATAAACCTTTAATAATTAAAAAGAGGGACTGGCACGTGGCTGGGCTTCTGCCTGTGGTGCTGACATCCCATGTGGTTGCCAGTTTGTGTCCTGGCTGCTCCTCTTCCGATCCAGCACCCTGCTGTGGCCTGGGTCCTTGGGCCCTGCACCCTTGTGGGAGATATGCTGGTTCCTGGCTTTGGATCAGCTGAGCTCTGGCCATTGCGACTGTTTGGGGAGTGAACCAGCAGATGGAAAACCTTTCTCTCTGTCTCTCCCTCTCTGTCTGTGGCTTTACCTCTCACATAAAATAAATAAATAAACAAAAATGATTTTAAAAAGAGAGTATACAGTATTTTAGAGTGTTATTATCCCTAAAAAAACTTCGTATAAGAAAACATATACAGCCGGTGCCGTGGCTCACTAGGCTAATCCTCCATCTAGCAGCGCCGGCACACCAGGTTCTAGTGCCGGTCGGGGCGCCGGATTCTGTCCCGGTTGCCCCTCTTCCAGGCCAGCTCTCTGCTGTGGCCCGGGAGTGCAGTGGAGGATGGCCCAAGTGCTTGGGCCCTGCACCCCATGGGAGACCAGGAAAAGCACCTGGCTCCTGCCTTCGGATCAGCGCGGGGCACCGGCTGCAGCGTGCGGGCCACGGCGGCCATTGGAGGGTGAACCAACGGCAAAGGAAGACCTTTCTCTCTGTCTCTCTCTCTCACTGTCCACTCTGCCTGTCAAAAACAAACAAACAAACAAACAAAAAAAAAACACATACCGTATCTTGAAATTTGACAAATAGTAATATTTCCCTGGACTAGGTATCTGTATTTAAATTTTTTTTTTCTTAAAAATAGGGTTGAGAGGGACCAGTACTGTAGCACAGTGGGCTAAGTCTCCGGCCTGCGGCGACAACATCCCATGTGGGTGTAGGTTCGTGGCCTGGCTGCTCCTCTTCTGATTCAACTCTCTGTTAATGGCCTGAGAAAGATGTGGAAGATGGCCTAAGTGCTTGGGTTCCTGCACAGCTCTGGCAGTCGCGGCCATTTGGGGAGCAAACCAGTGGATGGAAGACCTTCCTCTCTGTCTCTCCTTCTCTCTGTCTGTAACTCTGACTCTCAAATAAATAAATAAATCTTAAAAAAAAAAAATAGGGTTGAGAACTAGTGGATTAGAGGTGAGAGGGTTCTACTGCCATCCTGCCCTTGCCAGCATCTATATGGGGAGGACCCAGTGACCCCTTGAATAGATCTACATGGCAGGTAAATATATATATGTATATGTATATATATATATATATATATATAAAGACACTGTAAGGGGCCAGCGCTGTGGCGTGGTGGGTAAAGCCACCCCCTGCAATGACAGCATTCCTAATGGGTGCCGGTCTCAGCTGCTCCACTTCCCATCCGGCTCTCTGCATGAGCTGGGAAAGCAGTAGAAGATGGCACTGGTGTGGGAGACCCAGAAGAAGCTCCTGGCTCCTGGCTTCAGATGGGTGCAGCTCTGGCCATTGTGGCCATCTGGGGAGGGAACCAGCAGATGGAAGACTCTCTCTCTTGCTGCCTCTGCCTCTGTCTCTCTCTAACTCTGCCTTTCAAATAAATAAATAAATCTTTAAAAAAAAAAAAAGACAACGTAAGCTTTTTAAAAATAGTTACACTCAGGCCTCACCTGCCAGAGATTGATTTGCAGGAAGTAACTGAGGTTTTTACTTGCTTGTTTGTTTTTAAGATTTATTTCATTTAGGCTGGTGCCGCGGCTCACTAGGCTAATCCTCTGCCTGCAGCGCTGGTACTCCAGGTTCTAGTTCCGGTTGGGGCGCCGGTTCTGTCCCGGTTGCTGCTCTTCCAGTCCAGCTCTCTGCTGTGGCCTGGGAGTGCAATGATTGGGCCCTGCACCCGCATGGGAGACCAGGAGAAGCACCTGGCTCCTGGCTTCAGATTGGTGCTGCGCGCCAGCTGTAGCAGCCATTTGGGGGGTGAACCAATGGAAGGAAGACCTTTCTCTCTCTCTCTCTCTCTCTCTAACTCTGCCTGTCAAAAAAAAAAAAAAAGATTTATTTCATTTATTTGAAAGGCAGAATTACGGAGAGAGAGGTCTTCCATCTGCTGGTTCACTCCCAAATGGCTGGAGCTGGGTTGATCTGAAGCCAGGAGCCAGGAGCTTCTTCTTGGGTCTCCCATGTGGGTGCTGGGGCCCAAGGACTTGGGTCATCCTCTGCTGCTTTCCCAGGTGCATTAGTGGGGAGCTGGATTGGAAGTGGAGCAGCTGGGATTTGAACCACGCCCACATGAGAATCCAGCGCTGCAGGCAGGCTTTACATGCTATGTCACAGTGCCGGCCCTGGAACTGAAGTATTTAAAGCTCCATGCTGATTTTCATGGGTAGCCACTGTGAGAGCCCCAGCTTAAGGCAAAAATATTGTTCCATTGTTTTCCCTTTACAGGTTGGATAAAAATAACACTCTTTATCAAAGGAATTATAGTGATAAGTAAAATTAATAAGGAATTAAAGGATTTTTCTCAGTTGGAAAATCAGGAAACTATTCGATGGAACTGTGCACCTAGAAATCTGAAAGAGCAAAATAAATCAAGTATAGTCCTCGAGGTACTGTCTCAGCTGTACTCAGCATGATCAGGTTCGCACACCGGCTCTTGGAGACCAAAGAGAAACAGGGGCTGGGATTTCTCTGGTCTTTGGTTTCCTATTTAAAGGTGATAAAACAAGTATGCAATGGTTTTTGCTGACGTGAGATAAAAAAGGGTTAGGGAAAGTGCTCACCGGCCGGCGCTCCGGCTCACTAGGCTAATCCTCTGCCTGCGGCACCGGCACACAGGGTTCGAGTCCCGATTGGGGCGCCGGTTGCTCCTCTTCCAGTCCAGCTCTCTGCTGTGGCCCGGGAAGGCAGTGGAGGATGGCCCAAGTGCTTGGGCCCTGCACCCCATGGGAGACCAGGAGGAAGTACCTGGCTCCTGGCTTCGCAGCGCGCCGGCCGCAGCAGCCATTTGGGGGGTGAACCAATGGAAGAAAGATCTTTCTCTCTGTCTCTCTCTCTCTCACTGTCTGACTCTGCCTGTCAAAAAAAAAAAAAAAAAAGTGCTCATCATGCTATTTAATTTCAAAATATTTTTCCTTTAAGAATCCCTATGCTTCTCTTGCTCTGTATGGTTTATTACCTATTAACATTCTACTCAAATATTTGAGTTTCAGTGGCATTAATACAGTGCTGTGGGGAGACAGCTGACATGTTTGAAAGTAAAGTTTATAGATCCTCTGTGGATTTTAATTTCCTGGGATATCCATGTCTTCATGAGCATGAATAGTTAAGAAGCTCCCATGTCAAAATAAAATATTAATCACATTTCACAGTATATAAAACAGCTGCCTAATTACTGCCATTTCTGTGATTACCTGCATTTTATCATTAAAACTCTTGTAACTAAAGTCACAACCTTTATATAACATTTATTTTGTATAGGATTTAGCCACAAACAATGCTTTAAACAATTGACTGTTACTTGTATAAAAATCATTTTATAAAAAAAATCATTTTATAAAATAGAATCATACACAATAGGCTTCAGTGAAGTCAGCTGACATTCCAGGATCTGGTGATTCTAATTCCTGCGTGGCCGCTGTTTCACGGGGCTGCCTTAGGTGGGCTGCTTTACAGTTCTGTGCTTCAACCACTTCCCCTTTCATGTGGGATAACTATTCCATAGATATGTAAAGAATAACATAAAATTATTAAATATTTTGCAAATATAAAGTGCTATATAAATGATAATAATAATACCAAATACACTCTAACATAAATTAACATATAGCCTTCCATTTACAATCTACAGCTTGGTCCTGCTGCTCCTACTGTTATTACCCACCCAGCTAAACACATCTGCCTAAGCTGTACTGCTTTGGTGATTTTCCATACTGTTAATTTTAGGACTAGAAACATTTTTCCAAACCAATATAAGTGGAAATTCCAAGGTATCTTAGCACAACTTGGCAAATGACTTTCATGAATTGATTTCTAAGCACATAAATAATTAAGCCACCAAATTTGTTCATCTATTGAGCAGTAACTTGGCCACATAAAAAGCAGCAATATGGTTGTGTCAATTGCACCTCTTTAAAAAGTACCAAAAAATGTGTTCTTAGAAAGTTTTACAGTTTGATAACCACAGAAAAAACACCATACGCTAAGAGTGTGATTCCCTTCACTGAGACGCTGTGGTTACCTGCTCTTCAGTGAGACTCCTAGAAACTCTCAAAGGGAATCCAAGAAGTTAGCTGGCTTCGTGGTTTTCAATGTTGTGCTTCTGAATTCTGCAGAGGTGTCTGGGGAAAGGCTCATGGGACGGGGGCCTGAACCAGCGCAGCTCTGATTTTAGGGTTTATCCCTTAAATGTTGAACTTTTCTATGAAAAAAATCATTTGAAAAATTCTTGGGTAAGAGAAAAAAAATCTTCAACTGCTGACTGATCCATCTGCTTCCTCCAGACGCCAGGCATGATGGCGTGGCCCTTGCTTTTTGCAGAACTTCGTCACACTGCCCCGCACTCTCGAGGACAACAGACTTAGAAGGGCATCAGAAGCTGAGAAAAAGCATTCCTGGAGGAGCAGACTTTGGTCTAACCAACAATTATTTTCCTGATGTAAACAAACAAACAAAAATCCCTTGGCAGAAGTAAAGCTTATTTCAACAGATTATGCCTCTGTGTAACACTTTCCCGCATTTAAAAGTCAAAGAACTGTGTCTTCCCAGGAATCATCAATAGACAGTTTCACTCTAGGAAGAAACCCATCTCGAAAGTCTTAGGTATACATGACATGATGACCAGGGTCATTTACAATGTACAGATGTATCTTGAGTGTTCTTCCTTTATGATGGTGGGATGACAGAACCGGTGCTCTCTCTGAACTTGAGAGCTGTCTTGTGGGGATTGTTTGATGCTTGTTATAAACAATTACAAGAAAGCATTATTTCTGAAAAGGCAATTACAAGAGCTGGTGGTCCTGTGTTCAGCACACTTTGCTGATACTCATGCTGATGTATGTATAGTTTGCATGCAGGAGATAATAGCATAAAAGAACATTTAGATAGACTAAAGTGTGTTAAAAAATACAAATACAAGCACTACTTCATTTCTATGAATAAAGCTAAAATCAGCCATTTTTCCTATTGGCCCCAACAATGAAAAACCAGATTATAATTTTGAAAGGTGTTAGTATCACTCTAGTAAGAGTGGAGAATGGCATCATTGAATACAACTTAATTCAGAATCCTGATTTAGGAATGATTGTGATAGGAGGACAATGAACCCAATGCATACCATGGAGGCTTGAGGCAGCTGGAGACGTACCAGCAAGGGAATCTTGAAGTATCATAAAACTAAGTGGTTATTCATCTACTTATGACAAAATAAAAAAATTAATCATTTTAGACCATACATTAGTATCAAGGGCAATATTCATAAGAGAAAATACTAACTACAAAAGTGTCTTCTTGAGGTATGTAATGGCATTTAAAAACACAGTTTGATACAGGGAAGGGACTGTCTATATCACAAATTATATTAAGTTCTTTCTGATAATTTGCAGAGACCTTTACGAAGTTCACTTTTGGTACTTTAGAAATAAATAATGCTTCTCTAACTTAGCTGTAATTTTGGAATGTTTCATAATTCATATAGAGGAGGAGTTTAAACTTTGTTTCCTAGGAGAAAAGTCTGTTTTGAAAACATAAACAAGGTAAGCAAAAATGCTTAATGTGTTTAAAAAATAATTTGTTCAAATAGTTTCATATTTAAAGTTAACATTTAAGTAACATCACATAAAATACGTCAGTAGGTACAGGAACATTACTTAGCACTATCGGAATAACTAGATCAAATATTATGTTATGACAATGAATAAATTCTTTCCAACTTTATAATTCAGAATGGCTTATTTTTATAATTATTGCAGATGGCTGACTTTAATTCTTTGCCATTTCAGGAGACATTCAGGGAGCAATATTTGTAAGAGGATTATTTAAAATTAGAATCTCTCAGGGCTTGCTTTGTAGCACAGCAGGTTAAGCCATAACCCACAATGCTGGCATCCCATATGGGCATTGGTTCTAGTCCCAGCTGCTGCACTTCCAATCCTGCTCCCTGCTAACTGAGAAGGCAGCATAAGATGGCCCATGTCCTTGGGCCCCTGCCACCCACATGGGAGACCAGGATGGACTTTCAGGCTCCTGACTTTGGCCTGGCCCAGTCTTGGCCATTATGGCCATTTGGGGAGTGAACCAGAGGATGGAAGATCTTTGTATGTCTCTCCCTCTCTAACTCTGCCTTCCAAATCAATAAATAAATCTAAAAACAAACAAACAAACCTCAAAACACACACAAAAAAACCCTAGAATGTGTCTAATTATCAATTCTAGCACTTAAAGTTTTGGACATTAATTTCTCATTTGTAAATCGGAGATGATGTCTACCTCACCGATCAGTGAATAAAACATGAGAGAGTACTTTATAAATAATAGAGCACTACACATGTGTCAGAAACTACACTTGGGAACTAGTAAGGATCTCTAGTTTTGTTTTTGTTTTTTGTTTTTTTTTTTCTCTAGAGAGGTAGGGAAATATCTTGACAGGTTTTCACAAACCACAGGGACTTTTCAAAGTCAGTATTGATTTCTTGATTTAAGCAAAGTAACGTGTATACAATGCTTGGCCAACCTTACTTTAGTTTTTTTTTTTTTTAATAATTCTGTCTACATCAGAGCAATTTTAAACTTAATGACAAAAATTTCAAATACGCACAATTTTGAACATCTTAGATTACTCTTCTGCCATAATCTAAAACATTTAGGACACTGGAATAATGCTATATTGTTTCAGATCTGAAGTTAATAGGAAAACATATTGGTTCAGGCAGATGGGTTGCCAGGCCCTTAAATGTGCTCTTACCTGGTTCCCTGCGGAATTCAGTATTGATGGTATATATATTTTTGGAATTGTCTTACATGAAGTTCAGTTATGATAAATTTATTTAAAATATTTTCTTTGAAAAAAAGTTTGCTAAGTAGATCTTCCAATAATAAAAGAAAAAAGGTGTCTCCGCATATGTAAAAGGATTACAGTAAAAGTAAGAGGATGATCATCCACCCATCATGCCAACTCAAGCTAGGTCTTTCTTTCCAGTGCAGCAACGAATTACAGGGCAACAAAGCTCAGAATGGATACAATGGCCTGTTCAGAAAGCATGCAGGTTACATCAGGTCATTCCTTTTAAGTCAGTAATAAACTTGCTAACCAGACTCTGACCATGGAAAGAGACACATGGAGGCAATGAAGATGCACACATGCCAAGCTCTGCTGGTTCCCCTTATGGCTACCTAATGTTGGGCTTTCTTTCCTTTTCTTCTTCTTCTTCACTGTCATCAACCTGCTGGATGACCAGATCAGCCGACCCGTCCTCCACAATCTCCACGTAGGATCTGTTCTCGTCTTCACCCAAGCGCCATCTGGACTCCTTCTCTGCATCGGATGAGGACAGAAGATGCTGCTCAGCTTCCAGATCGACCGGGAGGCTGTCAATGCCGACCTCCGCGAGGCACTCGTTACACAGCCTGTAGCGCCGCGTGCCTTCCTGCACCACGTGTCCTGTTACATCAGTCACGTGGCGTTTACATTTTCTGCAGATTAGTTTGCAGGCCTGGTGGATCTGTGCAGAAATTTAGATAGTGGTAAAAAATGGCTTTTCAAAAGCAAAGTTTGAGTTAGAGGTCTCATTCGGTTCACAAACTTAAGATGTTCAAAGCCATGCATTAAATTCAAATTAATATCTAATTATTAGAGAAAGATCATAGGCTTGGTGATAAATGTATGCCACAGAAATATATTTTTTAAAGATTTATTTTATTTATTTGGAAGTCTGAGAAAGGAAGAGAGATCTTCCATCTGCTAGTTCACTCTCCAAATGGCCGCAACAGCCAGGGCAGGGCTAGACTGAAGCCAGAGGCCAGGAGCTTCTTCTGGGTCTCCCATGTGGGTGCAGGGGCCCAAGCATTTAGGCCATCTTCCATTCTTTTCCCAGGTGCATTAGCAGGGAGCAGGATCAGAAATGGAGCACCTGCGACTCAAACTGGAGCCCATATAGGATGCTAGTATCACAGGTGGCAGCTTTACCCATTATACCACAATGCTGACCCCAGTCACAAAAATATTAAACATCACCATTCTCTAAATAATGGCTATAATGGTTTTATTTATTTTTAAGAGGTTTATTTATTTATTTGAAAGGTAGGGAAACACAGAGAGAAACCTTTCATCCACTGGTTCACTCCCCAAATGACCACCAACTGTCAGGTCTAGGCTAGGCTGAAGCCAGGAGCCAGGAACTCCACCCTGATCTCCCACATGGGTGGACAGGGCCCAAGCACTTGAGCCATTATCTGCCACCTTTCCAGGTACATTAGCAGGGACTTGGATAGAAGGCAAAGCAGCAGGGACTTAAACTGGTACTCTGACATGGGATGCCAGTATCACAGACATCCTGGATCACTGTGCCATAATGCTGGCCCATGGTTTTATTATTATTACATACACTTAATAATTTCACAAATCCTTTAATCCAATAGTATTCTGATATCTGATGTAGCCAATGGATACATTCCCAGGATAGTAATAATTGTAAACACTTACTATGTACCCTGTACTGTTCTAAGGATTTTACATATTTTAACTTGAGGGAAAAAAATGCCTCTCTTGCTTCAAGAGAGAGTGAATTTTCTTATTTCACTAGAGGAAGAAAATATATTGTCTAAATTTAAATTCATCAATTTTAAAAGATGTGTTTACTTGTGTGAAAGGCAGAGTCACAGAGAGAGGGAGAGACAATAAGGGAGAGATCTTCCATCTGTTGGCTCACTTCCCAAATGGCCGCAACAAGCAGGGCCGGGTCAGGCTGAAGCCAAGAGTCTGGAATTCCATCTGGGTCTCCCACATGGGTGCAGGGGCCCAACATTTGGACCATCTTCCATTGCTTTCCCAGGAGTGTTAGCAGATAACTGGATGGGAAGTTGTGGGGAGCAACTCGGACTATACTGTTACTGGAATTAAGACTTATTCTATGCATCTGCTCTCCCACAATGTGGCGCTGGGAGAGGAGAAAACAGCTTCTACGCAGCTGCCTCTTGCCAACCTGAGTGATGACCTCCAGGAGCTGATCCTGCTCCTGATTGGAGGAGAGCAGCGTACTCGGCGTGTGGGCAGCCGAGTTGGGATTGGCGGAGGAGGACTATATAGGAGGAGAGAGACGGCATGCACCAGGAACATCTAAGAGGAACATCTAAGGGGAACACCTGTGCAGCCCCCGAGAGAGCCGGCCGGCGGTGTGCCGCTCCCCTGCGGAAGTGGGGAAAGTGGCCAGGGGGAACCGCCCTTCCACGGAGGTGGAAGGGACAGTAGCCAACCCGGGAAGAACCAGCAGCAAACCCGGGAAGGGCCGAGCAGACGAAAGAACAGTGCAGGGTCCTGTGTCGTTCCTCCATGAAGAGGGGGAGCGACAGAAGTGGAGCAGCCAGGATTTGAACTGGCATTCATATGAGATGCAGGTACCATGGCCAGGGACTTGACCAGCTGTGCTACAACACTGGCCTCATGAATATTTGTGGATAGAAGGATTACTTGTCATTTTATTAACATAAGGTCTGGCAGAAAGAGGACTGTAGGGTATATGTTTTGTACGGGAGTTAAGATGCTGCTAGGGATGCCCATATCCCATATCAGAGTACCTAGGTTTCAGTCCTGGCTCTACTTCCGATTCTAGCTTCCTGCTAATGCACACTATGAGGGACAGCAGTTATGGCCTGACCCAGCCCCCAGTGTTGTGAGCATTTGGGGAGTGAACTAGCAGATGAAGATCTCTCTTACCCTCTGTCTCTCCCTCTTTCTCTATTACTTACTGCTTTCTAATTTTTATCTTTTTTTTTTCTTATTTTTAAAAGTTTTATTTATTTTTATTTACTTGAAAGGTAGATAAAGAGAGAAAATCTTTCAATCTTCCATTTGCTGGTTCAATCCCCAAATGCCTGCAACAACTGGGGCTGGACCAGGCCAAAACTAGAAGCCAGGAAATTCATCCAGGTCTCTCACATGGGTGGTAGGAACCCAAGTACTGGAGCCAGCACCTGCTGCCTCCCAGGGTGAATTAACAGGAAGCTGGATTAGAGCAGAGGTGGTGTGCCGGCAGTGTGGCACAGCAGGTAAAGCCGCTGCCTGTGATGCTGGCATCCCATATGGGTGCAGATTCGAGACCCAGCTGCTCCACTTCCAATCCAGCTCCCTGATAACGTGCCTGGGAAAGCAACAGAATACAGCCCAAGTGCTTGGGCCCCTGCCACCCATGTGGGAGAGCAGGAAGAAACTTCTGCCTTTAGCCTGGCCCAGCCATGGCCATTGTAGCCATCTGCGGAGTGAACCAGCATATGGAAGATCTTGCTCTCTCTCTCCCTCTCTCTAATTCTGACTGTCAAAAAAAAAAAAAAAAAAAAAAGTCTGGTTTCATGACATTAATGAAGGCAGAGTTTGCTTGGCTCACTGCCATATACCTATTACTTAGTGACATTAGCAGGGAGCTGGATTGGAAGTGGAGCAGCCAGGACTAGAAACGTGCCCATATAGGATGCCACTGTTCCAGGTGGCAGCTTAACCCATTATGCCACAACGCCAGCCCCTATACCTATCACTTAGTAGGTACTCAATATATATTTATCATATAAATAACTGTAAAGCAATATATGAAAAAATCACCTCAAGTAACCTTTAAAATTAAAGAGAATTCTTATTAAGAGAATAGATTTTGAAAAATAAGTTTGCTGCAAGATGAAAGCAGAATAATTCCTGCATCTCTGTCTTACTGAACCACCAGGGCACTGAGGTCTGTCTGCGGCTGACAGTCCCTGAATGGGAGTGGCTCTGCGGCCTACCTTCCTTCCTTCCTTGAGGAGACCGTGGAGAAACTAGAGAGAAACTAGGACAGGTGCAATAGACAGAGGCCAGACAGCCGCAACTGGAGTAAGAAGCTGCTAGGGAAAGCTTCAGTAATCCCTGGTAGGGGGCTGGCGCTGTGGCACACCAGGCAAAGCCACCGCCTGCAATGCTGGCATCTCATATGGGCTCCTGTTCGTGTCCCAGCTGTTCCACTTCTGATCCAGCTCCCTGCTAAAGGCCTGGGAAAAGTAGTGGAGGTTGGCCCAAGTATTTGGGCCCCTGCTACCCATGTGGGAGACATGGATAAAGCTCCTGGCTCCTAGAGCCAGGCCCAGACTGAGCATGGTGGCCATCTAGGAAATGAATCAGTAGATGGAAGATCTCTGTCTCTCCCTCTCTTTCTGTAACCCTGGCTTTCAAAACAAATAAATCAATGTTTAAAAAAAATCCCTGGTAGTTGCTGAATTTAGGAAATAGTGAGTCAGACCTAGATTAAAACACAAATAGCTTATATTATCTATGGCTCTGAGCAGACCAGTGTGCAACAACCTATTAGATTTTATGTTAGTTAAAATGTAAGGGACTGGTGCTGTTGCATAGTGGGTAAAGCTGCTGCCCGCAGTGCCAGCATCCCATATGGGCACGGGTTCTAGTCCACTTCCAATCCAGCTCTCTGCTATGACCTGAGAAAGCAGAAGATGGCCCAAGTCCTTGGGCCCCTGCACCCACGTGGGAGACCTGGAAGAAGCTCCTGGCTCCTGGCTTCAGATCGGCCCAGCTCTGGCCATGGCAGCCATTTGGGGAGTGAGCCGGCAGATGGAAGATTTTCTCTCTCTGCCTCTGCCTCTATGTAACTTTCAAATAAATAAATAAATAAATCTTTAAAAGATGGAAATACAAAACCATTGATCATCACAAGACTATCTCTGACTTCAGGATTTCAAAGGAGATGTTACAATCTGTATGTTACATTATATGTACACATGTGATGATGCCTTATGTGCAAAGCAGAAATGTTAAACTGAGTTATATGAAAACCAGGTTATCCCAAAGCAGATACATGCATGTGCTTCTCAAGAAGCAAAACGATGGCAGCTGCATACGTACTGTTCGAAAATGGCTACTCAGATGGTCCAGCCTGCTAAATCTCTTCCCACAAGCTTGGCACGGGTAGGGCCTTTCCCCCGTGTGGCAGCGCAGGTGGCGCTTCAGGTCTGCTTTCCGCTTCACCACGTGGGTGCAGTAGGGGCACTTGAACCGCATCCGGGGTAGCTCATCTGTCAGGAGACAGTTCAGTCAATCACCGAGCCCTCCAGTAACTACTCTACAAACAGGAAGAATCCAAAAGGAGTCGGCGTGCCCCGTCTCGGAAAGGAAGGAGAAACGGAGGAGACAGACATTTTAAGACTAGATTGTCAACGAATCTGTGGCACAGAATAACTTCTGGATTTGGTGTAAAGTCTGTTAAGTTCAGACTTCCATACGTATCTGTTTAGTTGATGCAGAGGAGTTAGTTGATTTTAATAGTAATGATTTTAAATGTAAAAAGGTAGTATTCAATTTTAAGACTCCAGACATCATCTAAAATCAAAGCATTTAATATTTGATTTTTTAAAAAAACATTTATTCATGTACTTGAAAGAGTGAAAGAGAGGAAGAGATGGAGAAAGAGTTTCCATTTCTGGTTTACTACCCAAATGGTTGCAACAGCCAGGGCTAGGATGCCAGGAGCCAGAAACTCCTTCTGGGTCGCCCACAAGGGTGGCAGGAACCCAAGTACCTGAGCCATCATCTGCGGCCTCCCAGGAGCATTAGCAGGAAGTTGGATCAGAACAGCCAGCACTTAAACCAGGTACTCTGACATGTGACGCAGGTGTCACAGATGACTTAACCTGCTGTGCCACAACACCTGCCCCAGGATTTCAGTTTTAAGTAACTTTTTTGTATATTTCTATTCCCTTGCCTTTACTTTTCATACACTTTTTCTGAAGGTGAAAAAATTTCAAGGATCTTTACTGTTTTGCTTTGAAGCTGACAATTACATTTAAAAATGTTAGTTGTGATTGGAAGCATATATCAATTTAACAGCTGTTAAAGTCAGGTCATTATTGATGTTACATTTAAGTAATCTAGAATTATAAGAGTAGAGAGCCCAAATGAAAAAAAATAGTCTTTTTGAGGTTTAAAATGCCACAAGGGTTTCCCATTTTCGCTGTGATTTCTATCTCTTGGTCAGTAGCAGAGCTCAGCAGGACTTGGCGTAGGATCTATACTACGGGCGCCGGCACTGTAGTGGTGTAGTGGGCTAAGCCTCGCCTGTGGCTGAGGCAGTCCCGGCTGCTCCTCTTGCGATCCAGCTCTCTGCTGTGGCCTGGGAAAGCAGTAGAAGATGGCCCAAGTCTTTGGGCCTCTGCACCCACATGGGAGACCCAAGAAGAAGCTCCTAGCTCCTGGCTTGGGATCAGCCCAGCTCCATTGCAGCCATTTGGGGAGTGAACCAGCAGATGGAAGGCCTTTCTCTCTGTCTCCCTCTCTATCTGTAACTCTGCCTCTTAAATAAAAAAATAAAATCTCAAAGAAAAGGATCTATACTATGTTACAATTTTATACAGATTCAAATTAGTATCCTACAGGAAAATGGGATGGGTAAAAATCAGCCAGATTGTCTATTATTTTAAAACATTATCTATAAATATCCAAATTATTTTTAAGAATGTATGAGGGCTGGCGCCACGGCTCACTAGGCTAATCCTCCGCCTAGCGGCGCCAGCACACCGGGTTCTAGTCCCGGTCGGGGCGCCGGATTCTGTCCCGGTTGCCCCTCTTCCAGGCCAGCTCTCTGCTGTGGCCCGGGAGTGCAGTGGAGGATGGCCCAAGTGATTGGGCCCTGCACCCCATGGGAGACCAGGATAAGTACCTGGCTCCTGCCATCGGATCAGTGCGGTGCGCCGGCCGCAGCGCGCCAGCCGTGGCGGCCATTGGAGGGTGAACCAACGGCAAAGGAAGACCTTTCTCTCTGTCTCTCTCTCTCACTGTCCACTCTGCCTGTCAAAAAAAAAAAAAAAAAAAGAAGAATGTATGAGAATCAGGGAAATGTGAATTCTGGCTAGTTACTTAGTGATATTAAGGAATTATTGGTCAATCTGTCCTGGTACGCTAACAGTATTTTATTTTTTAAGGTTGTATTTTAGGGACATATTGTGAAACTGTTACTCTGAAAAC